AAAAAAATAAATAAATAAATAAAAGACTTAGCTATGACAAATTGCGCTGCTATAAACATGGGCACTCATATATCACTGTGGTATGATGATTTCAGTTCTTTTGGAAAAATACCTTGGACGGGAATAGCTGGCAGAAGAGACATTTTAATAGGCATAAATCCTTTTCTTCAAAGAGCTCACCATCCATTTGGGAAGTCAAGCAAGTGTAGGAGTCCACGCATGATCAGCTACCTGTGGAACCCAGAGCCCACCTGGCCCTCGCGTCTGGAAGAGGCTGTCAGGCAGAGGCACCAACTTGGAAAAGCAGAATGAAGCCCGACTGGGAGAGTGGAGTAGGCTGCAGCTTCCCCGGGGCAGTTCCTGCTGCGCTGTTGCTCTCACAGTTTTTGACATTCTGAAGATTCTAAGGGGCATGACTCAGAATGCAAAGGTCAAGGTTCTGTTCCAGCTGGCTCCGGACCAGCCCATTTCAAGGGTGAGGTGATGCTCTGGGATGACACATACAACCTTCAGTCTCCCTTTACCAGCAAGAGCTCAGTGTTTGCTCTTCAAGCCTTGATTAAAAATCTTAACGTTGAATTTCCAGTGACCTAGTGCCTGCCTCGCTTGCTTGCTTTGCCTCAGCACTGAGGGGGGAGCTCTGGTCCTTGCACACGCCACACAAGTGCTCCCCACGGAGCCACTCCCAGGCCTGTCCTTCCTCACGTCAACAACACCTGCACTCTCCTCTGACTCTGAAGCCAAAGGCATGCCTCAGGTTTATGACTCTGGCCTGGAACCACACTGTTTCATCCCTTTATGCTTCTCTTCAGTGACGGAACTTCCGTGAGTCTAGTCCAGCCCATTCTTTATGCTGCCTCCCAGGTCTAACTCCTCAGAGGAGCCTTTATTGGTGCCTCACCGCATCCTGCACTTCCTGCTGAGCTTGATTCCAAAACACCTCTCTCACGGGGTGCATAGTGTTTTCGGCCCCATCCCCACCTGACCCACATCCATGCTTCCTGTCCACTAGGGCCCTTCCCTTTACCTGGTGGGAGCGGTGACTTCAGAGGACCCCGGAGAAATGGTGCCACCCACTGCCCTAGAAGCTCCAGCCTCCCAAGGAGTTGGGGATTC